TGGTGCAGTTACCATGGAAATGGAGCAATATGGTGGATCATCACAGCACTGATACAGAGTTGTATGCGGTCCAGCTCTTCCACTTCCTTAGTTACCTCATCCACAGAGGACAGAGGTGCAGGTCATCCAAATGTTCACCAACTGATGAGTGGATGATCAAAAGATGGATTACAAATATAATTAAGTAGCATTTATTCTTATAAAGAGTAGTAAAATAAGGAGATTCTGGGAATGGAGTGGAGCACTTACACGGCATTCAGAATGCCCTGGGTTCTTAAATCCTAACATAGGACATAATATAATATAAATTATATATATGGCATAAAATATATAATATTATATGCGTGGCATAAAATATATTAATTATTATACTATACATTTTATTTGTTAAATATTATACTTCTCATATTATATATAAAGAAAGGAATTATAACACACATACTACTGTATGGGAAAACACAGAGGAAATTACACTGAGTTAAACAAGACAGTCATCAAAAAGCAAATACCTTATGATTCTATTTATTAGCCATCTGTAGTAGTCAAATATATAAAACAGAAAATAAAGTAGTAGTTTCCTAAGGATGGGGAGGTACATAGTTACTATTTTACAGGAAAGTTAGGTAGAAAAACAAACTTCCAAAGATTAATTCCACACTGCCTTTGAAATTATTAGGCTGATAAGCTTAGCTGTGTGTGCTCGTAATTTTAACTAGAATAGGAGAAATTAAAAGGCCGTGCTTAGGAATGTGTGTCTGTCCTTCCACACCAACACTGGTGACTCAAATGTCATATTGCCCCAGGTTTCTTTAAATCGAAAGACTACCTTAGGGTGGAGAGAGCTCTCAATGATTACAAGCACTCACGGCTCAATCATGGGCCTGGAGTTCTGGTCTGAGCACATAATTCAGGTGACTCACAAACATTGCATCTCTAGCTCAAGGCTCTGATAGTCCCTTTTGTCCTCCATAGGTACCCAGATACCTGAGTGTGCACACACTCATGCAAACACACACAAAACACAAGCATACACACACATAAATAACTAAAACCTTTTTTAAAACTGTGCTATGTGTTATAGTTTTGTACGATTAAAATGCTTTCTAGTCTGAGGTGGACTGATGGCCCCACTGTTAAGCATATGGCTGCTCTTCCAGGGACCCAGGTTTGATCCCTTGCAGGCACAGGTAGCTCACAACCCAAGGTTTCTGATGTCCTCTTCTGGCCTCTGCAGGTACTGCATCCATATAGTACACAGACATACACCCCAAAACAGACAAAACACCCAAACACAAAATAATTTAAAAGCGAATCGAAGATGCTTTCTAGTGCTTACATATTTGGCCTAATTCTTAAGTTTCTCAAGGTCAAATAGTATGACATTAAACCCCTGCCTTTGTCCTGCTCATTTTCAAATATTGGAATTTAAAATATTGGAACTAGAACTACAAAGGACATCTGTAAACTATTTGCCTATGCTATTGCAATAGGGAGAGTGTTTCAAATGTCGCAAGAGAACCAAGTTGTTAAAAAAGAAAATATGTTGTTATTGCATGAAGATGCATGAATCATACCCAAGCGCGTAATATCTAAAGACAGCGCTTCATGAAAAAGATTTCTATAGCTTACCCATTTTCAACTTACAGCTGTTCCCTTTTTTGAGGCAGCAATTTCAACACCCAAATAAATTACACAAATACACTATCTCAAGGAGATGAAAAGTTCAGAGGTTAATTTAAACAGAGCAATTCTAAGCTATAAATTATGCTAAGGTTTCTTTATTTTCATATAAAAGCTTGAGGAACATTATAAATGCAAGTGTGAATTACAGGAGAAATATTTGTCATTGCAGACAAAACTCATTTTTAAATAGCTCTTGAGAATGTTCGGTGAAAAGGGAAAATAATGCTTAAATGCTACCGTGATGTGCTGTGAGCAGTACCTCATCAAGAGTTGCAGTAAGTAATGAATACACAAGTCAGATTGGTAATAAATGAACTGAAATAAATGCACATTATAGACATGCTGTGTATTTTATAAAATCAGTTTACTCTCTTAATACACCAAACTATTTTTGTGTAAGGTGATAATCTACTTCATTCCCTTCTGCAAACCCCATTGTAAGAGTGTGTGCTCTCTCTTAGTTAGGTTGTGTGTTATTGCTGTGGTATAATGTCATAATCAAAAGGAACTTATGGAAGAAAACTTTCACAATATAGTTTATAGTCCATCATGGATGGAAGTCAGGGCCAGCCTGGGCTATTTAACAGCTTGCTTCAACAGAAACAGACGTGAGGCTAGTAAAAGGAAAGCTAGGTTGTACCTGGTATGAATTAGTTGACTACAGGAAATTACACATTTGCTTCCTGTAAAGTTCTCTGTGGTTGGTCAGATTCCACGTTCTTTAGGACTGCCACGTACAGTGTTAAGCAATCTGTAGTTGAGAAGCCTTCACGACTCTATGCAAAGAACTTTGAAGGGCCTGAGGTTTGCAGATTCATAGATCTTCCCACTGTTTAGTGGATACAGGTGAAGGTCAGGCTATTCCAGGGCCTGAGACAATGGATTTCATTACATGTAACAAGCAATATAAGGAACAGAAAGACAATCTCGAGCCTCCCATCCCCCAAGTTACATTGAGAGGGATACAGGTGTGTACAGCTGGATTCCTACACAAGAAGTTCATTATTTTTATTATTATCTTATTAATAATAATAATATATGACGATTTTGTAGATGCCTATATTATGCATTCTGGTTACTCTCACCCTTCTGTCCTCTTTTTCCTCCCTCCCATCCCCTACCAACCTCTTCTCATCTCTTCAAGTTCCTATTCTACCTTCACAACTTTTAATTTAGTTCTGTGACCCAGTAAATTGAGCCAGATCCATATCTGTAAGTCATGGGTCTTGAACTACCCACTGGGGCCATTTTTGCTTTGTTTTGTTTTGTTCAGGATTGTTTTAGTCACCCTGATCTTCTGTGTTTTTATATAAATTTAGAGCTTTTTGTTTTGTTTTTCAAATCCTGTGCAGAATCATTTGAGAATTATTAATCACACCAATCTATAAGCACAGGGGACTTTCTAGTGAGGTTTTCACTCAGCTGATGGATCTTTTCATTTCCAACATCATGTTAGCTTGGGTTTCATCATCAGGTCTCTCACTTTACTGGGTTTTATTTTCATATCTTGTATTATTACTAGATTGGTGATTTGTGTAAGTCTTGGCTTTTCATGTTGTTTCTGTCTCTGGAATATTCACTCTGATTAGAGACACACAGAAAAAGACAGAAAGTTCAAAACAGAACAAATAATAGCATACTGCATTCTAAACCATGAGATTGGCGACTATTAAGCTACACAGATCAGAAATCCCAGGAAAACCCTCAGGCTATCTATCTTAGCTGGGGTTTCTTTGATGTGAGGAAACATGGTGACCAAAAGCAGCTTGTGGAGGAAAGGGTTTATTTCACTCACAGTTTCATATAACAGATCATCATCAAAAGCAGTGAAGACAGGAGCTCAGGCAGGGCAGGAACCTAGTGACAGAAGCTGATGCAGAGGACATGGACAGGTGCTGCTTACTGGCTTGCTCTCCATGGCTTGCTAAGCCTGCTTTCTTATAGAACCCAGGACCACTGGCCCAGTGGTGGCACCACTCACAATGGGCTGGGCCCTCCCCCATCAATCACTATTTAAGTCCTCTACCAGCTTGCCTACAGTTCAGTCATATGGAGGCATTTTCTTAATTGAGGCTCCTTCTTCTCAGATGACTTTAGCTTTTGTCAAGTTCACATAAAACTTGAAAAAGCATGGGATAAAACCAGACTCGCTGAACATAGCGGACAGTGAGGACTACTGAGAACTCAAGAACAATGGCAATGGGTTTTTGATCCTACTGCACGTATTGGCTTTGTGGGAGCCTAGGCTATTTGGATGCTCACCTTACTAGACCTGGAAGGAGGTCCTTGGGCTTCCCACAGGGCAGGGAACCCTGACTGCTCTTTGGTCTGACGAAGGAGGGGGAGTTGATTGGGGGAGGGGGAGGGAAATGGGAGGCGGTGGCAGGGAGGAGGCAGAAATCTTTAATAAATAAATAAAAACTTAGCCAGCACGATATCTTATACATGTACTAGGAGAATCAGGGAATAAAAACATTTAAGTCCATGTCATACAAAAAGTCACCAAATACATCATTTTGCTTTAGAAGAACTGAAAGACTGATACAATTTTAAAGTCAAGAGAAAATACCTTATCATGTAAATCGCATTTTTTTAATTCATTTTGTTCCCACAGTTTGCTTTTAATTAGCAAAGAAACATTGCCAGTTTAAGGAGTGCAAATGATTTCCGAGTTTTAGACAGCAACATTCGAGATGACAGAATAGGGTTTCCTTTTGTCATCTTTTTCAATACCAAATGAGTCACATTTCCAGTTCAGATTAGGAACCAGAACTGGACTTCTTTCTCAATTTTCTATTTCCTTGCAGAGCGGGAAGCTGTGTGGTTCTTACTGATTTGACAGATTTTTTCCCCTTCTTATTTTACATGCATTATTATCAGCACACAAAATCCCAGGCAAAACTTTGCTGTAAAAGAGCCCTCTTGTCGGGAAGAGCCCATATGCCAGGATGTTCGTTTGACTTCGCACAGCAGGACCTAGAAGGCCGATGCCCATCTTGGCATCTTGGTCAGGATTAACATGGTGGCCACTGGCCAACATTAGCTGCGTGACTGAGCTCTGGTGTACCACCGCCGTCCACCGAATTCAAAGGACAGCGTTTGTGGTTTATGAAGCTTTGGAGGAAATAAAAATACAGAAACCCCTTAGCGTAAAATCTTATTAGTACCTTCCTCCAGATGAAGGGAGCAGAAACACAGGCTGCGAGATTGTTCCACTTGGGTTCGCCATTCACATACGCTCGATGCAGAGCAACCGGGAAGGAGTCCGCTGTGACTAACGTTTGGCCTTTCTCCTGCGTGTTTTCTTTCCCCCCTAGAACACTTGAAGGAGAAGTTAGAAGATTACATGGCTCGGTTTTCCAAAGTGAGAATTGTTCGCACCAAGAAAAGGGAAGGACTCATCCGGACCCGACTCCTGGGAGCTTCTGTGGCCAGAGGCGAGGTGCTGACCTTCCTGGACTCCCACTGTGAGGTCAATGTGAACTGGCTGCCCCCGCTCCTCAGTGAGTATACTATGTCACCATCATTCTCTCCAAGGGGCACGCTGGACCAGGGAAGCTGGCAACTGTGCCCTGAAAACAGAGTGTGAGGTTTCTCCTGTAAATATTGCAGTCAGCAAAGGCTTGAGTTTGAGTTGTATCTTCATCACTGTGGATGAAAAATAGTATAACTACATTAAATAGCATTTCAGATAGGACCAGCAGCAATCTAACTTAAGGTTAGGAAGGTTTCTTTTATATTATGCCTCTCTCACTGCAGTTGCGTTTATTGGGGAAACACTAAAGTAAAAAAAAAAAAAATAGCTTCAAACTATTTCTCAGTCATTCTACAATTAGAATAAGATCAAAAGACACGTACCCATGTACATATACACAGTTTTATCACAAGATGGTTAAGAAAGGAGGAAAATTACTCAGCCCCAGGATATAAGAATCTAAGTGATTTGCCATTTTTTAAGATGTGTAGTGCCGCTGCCTTTTTGTTTTTCTTCCTGGTGCTATCCTCCATCCTTCGATACATAATCCTCTGAACTCACACGGAGCCCCTCAAACACTGAGCTGCTGTCCCCATGTCGAGTCTTAATTGATCAGTTACAGCTACCAGAGTGAAGGCAGCAAACCGTGCCGTGTCACAGAGCACTGAACCACTAGCAAAACAAACAAACTGGACATCATTCCGGAAAGAAACTCCACCTGGGATGGGATGCATTTCAAGCCTCAGTATTGTTATCTTGTTAGTTTACAAGGAAGCCAGGTAGAAAACCCCCATTGCACCCAGGAAAGAAATTGCATACCTAAAGAAATTCCTTCTAGAAAATTCTTAGTGCGTATATATTGCCCTCCTTTCTTGTTCTCTTAGATTTCTCCAAAGCAACTTGCATTGTAACTGCATCCCTGGTTTATAAATAAAGCCAGTGACAGCGGCCCTCACCGCCAGCACCTCAGAAAGAATGCTCTGTTAGTGACTATTACGTGGGATTTCAGCTTCAACTAGCCAAGCTACACCAGCAAAAAAAAAAAAAAAAAAAAAAAAAAAAAAAAAAAAAAAAAANAAAAAAAAAAAAAAAAAAAAAAAAAAAAAAACAAGAGAGGGGGCCTCAGTGACAACCATATAGGATGTAAAACACAACACCCAGCAAGTAACACCCTCTCCCAAATCACCAGGTCCATATATGCCTCTGCTCAGGGTCCAGCCCAGCCTTCTCAGTCAACAGGATCCCAGGACCACATCAGCCAGAGACTCCCCTGAGCCTGTAATTAAGTGTGCTCCGTCCAAGGACACAGGCATTTAGAATCTCATTAGCCATGGCAGGAGTTCCTCAAACTGAATTTGCCCTGCATGCTGTTGACTACGCTAGCATGAGAACCAAAGGCTGGACTTCTGTCTGAGCCAAAGCAATCCCTAAATGCCAGTGATCAGTCCTCCGATCATTCTCTATGAATCACAGGGAAGGGGAGGGATAGGGAAAGGAGCATAAGAGACAGCCACAGCCCACTCTTTCTCATGAAAACCTTTCATTTCCTGTGGGCCCGGGGGATAAGAAACGCTTCAAGCCCGGGATGCTATCTCTCTTTATTTTCCTCTATCAGTATCTTGATACATCATCCAAAAATGAAGAAACAGGCGGAGCCACATCGCTGCTCCTTGGTTCATTTTTCACCTTGGGGATTATACCTGAATTTCAATTTCCTATTGAGTCTGTTTGTTTGATCCCTGGAAATTGAAATGTAGGCACCAGCCTTGGAAGAAAAATTAGTCATGCGGCTTTCACCCCAAGCAAGCCCAGCTGGATGAGAGCTGAAAGGAAATTTGAAGGGAACGTTGACAGTTAATTTAACAGACTCATTCTCTTTGGATCACCTTGGGACTCCTTGTTGGTCAAGGAACCTGTAAATCAAGCTGGTTCTGAATTTGATGGAAGAAAGTCACTGAGACCGTAACGCTAGAGCTGCAGAGGTGATCGACGAAATGTTTCCAACCTTACGCTAACGGTCTCCGCCATCCTCTGGGGGAAAAATGCCACTTAGATAAAACTAAAACCCACAAGAAGGCTTGCCTTGGTGAAAATGGATGCTCAGAGAGCCCATGGTGGTGGTTACCTTGAAACAGTGCACCTGCTAACTAGCTGGCAATGAGAGAAATATAATCCCCAGGCTCTCTGAGGCTCCCTGGGCTTGTGGTGGTGTCTAAAACTGTCTCCTTTCCCATTCTCCAGCATTCTGTGCCTCTTAAGCACTGTTCTCTCTGTCTTCTTTTTCTTGTAAAACACCATAGAGTTTAGTTATTTATTACATTTTATAACTTTTTGTCCCATTCCTGTATATGGTGATATTTGTGGTATTATTCTCTACAGTAGGTTGAAAATCTAGAAAAATTATTGACTCATTGTTTTTACTCAGTAAATATAGTAAATGATTTTTGTAACATGAATGAATGAGTGAATGAGCATGTGTACTTGCAAGGGAAATGCCCTATGGGATTTTTGTTTCTCTCCACACTCTGTTTTATCAGTGTGATAAAAAAAAAATGTCACCTGCTATGATGGCCACGAAAATCTTTTGCTTCCTGCTCTACGCTGAGTAGGAACTTCCAACGCACATGGACAGTTTCCTCTCTGTAAAAAGCTGATCTCTCGCGCACGTTACATTAGCTTCAGGGCCTCTGAGAGAGATAAAAATTACACAGAAATAACCAGCTCCCATCAGATTTCTAAACGATATCCTTTGTTAAATGTCACCTGCTACACCCAAAGGTCTTCCAAATAACGAGAGAGCAGGTGCTCATACTTAAACATCCTGCCCGTCAGAGAGCGGGTGCTGTAATAAATTGATTAAACACATGTTCTTGAGAGGGGGGAAAAAGATACTTCACATATTGCTATTCTGCATGCACCGAAATAAACAAATGCCAATTTCCTGCAGGCCTGTTAGCTCTGTCACAATAAAAATATCTGGATAGAACAGCAAGATTGCTAGAACTGGAAAGAGGAGAAAAATCACCTGCCTGTTAGGCGAGGCACCCAGGCAGCCTAGAAAGGCCGGTTTTGGAACCGGAGATTTAGGCAGGGGTTATGTCCTGATTATTGTCCACCAAAGCTGAAATAGCCCGTGACAAGTTGTTTGACTTCCCTGAGCTCAGTGTCGCTGTATATGAACAGGATGACAACAGTTGTAGGGGGAGGAAGGCTGCTTGTTTGTTTCCTGACTGCTCAACCATAAAATAATCACACAGAAACTATATTAATTAAATCACTGCTAGGCCCATTAGCTCTAGCTCCTTATTGGCTAACTCCTATGTCTTAATTTAACCCATATCTATTAATCTATGTATTGCCACGTGGCTGTGGCTTACAGGGTAAAGTTCTGTCTGGCTCCATCGGGGCTACATGGCTTCTCCTTGACTCCACCTCCTTTCTCCCAGCATTCAGCTTAGTTTTTCCCCGCCTAACTAAGTTCTGGCCTGCTATAGGTCCAAAGCAGTTTCTTTATTCACTAATGGTAATCACAGCATACAGAGGGGAATATCCCACATCAAACAGTCAGTTGTCATGGATAGTGGGAGTATTGGAAAGAGGATGAGTATATATCATCCTGGAATCTTTTGTGGGTTTACCAACGGTATCATAGCAACAGTACCGTGTCATCTAATGATGTCTGTTAATTGCATGGAGGAAAGATAAAATGTGTGCCGGACTGATAAGTAGAGTCAGTCTCAAAGAAGAGCGGCTCAACAAAATTCTCTGTCATACGTGACAGCAAAGAATTTTATATATGATTGGTTGGCATTATGGGGGAACGGCCATCATGACTGTTTTATGATTAGTTGCTATAAAAACCATGAAGTTAAAATATTTACATTGTGGAACCTTCAGAAAGCAGGCCGGTATTTTCTCAGCAGGCTTTAGCTGTATGCTTGGAGGAACACGAGTACGGTTTATCCTCTGTGCATGTTGGAGGCACGTTAAAATGACAGATTGGGGACAGGTCAGAGCAAAAAATGTGACAGAGTCGAGCTAAATGGACTTCTGCAAGTCTCTCCGGGACATAACTTTCTCAAACGGAAATATAACAACTCTAATTGTACCTAATCACTGTCCCATCATGTTAAGCCCAGCGTTCGGAGATTCCTGCAAAGGGCTCTAATGACGACAAGGAGACGCCAAAGCTGCAAGTGTTATGCATTAAAAGGAGCTGTGGGTTTCTCCTTGCTGGAAAAATGACAGATGACCTAGGCAGGCGTGTCATTTCCTATTTTGTGCTTTCATTTTTCAGACCAAATTGCACTAAACCACAAAACCATCGTGTGTCCCATGATCGATGTCATCGACCACAATCACTTTGGGTATGAGGCACAAGCTGGGGACGCCATGCGAGGAGCCTTCGATTGGGAGATGTACTACAAAAGAATCCCCATCCCTCCAGAGCTCCAGAGGGCTGATCCCAGCGACCCTTTTGAGTGAGTAGCAGCTAAGAGAGGGGGGAAGGGAGAGAGGGCTGATGACAGGTGATGTTTCTAGTGTGTCAAACTCAGGACCCATGAGGACAATTATCTCTGATGCAATGTAATAAAACAGGTGGTAACAATATGCAAAACACCATAGAAAGGTCAGACCTGTAAGCTATAGTAGATTAAAATTACATGCTATGCTAAATACAGGGATCACCACCTTAAATGTTGCTAAGCATAAGGGAAAGTGTGTGTTGATGAAAAGAGCCAGAAACACATATCCTTAAAAAAAATTACAAAGAGACTGCATGCTCCACTTTAAGATTTTTTTCTTCTGATTTTCAGGATCTTTATGCTTTCTGCTTTCCCTAAAAGACTGTTCAAACTGACCGTTTGTTCTTCTTTTATTGAGAATTAGTGCAGAGGTAGGAACCAGAGCTTGCATCTATATTCTATACCCTGTTTGAAATGGTTCACTTTCGATAAAAGACAGTCCTCCCAAGTACATAGTTCCATCGTTTAAAATTGGATAATTCCATTGAAAACAAATCTGCAGCGGTCCGATTAATAAATCACCACGGTAATAGATATTTGAACAAGTTTAATAACAAAACCAGACTCACGAAACCAAGGTTCCAGCGGAGTAGACAGCGGAGACAGGAGAGGAAGGGAAGGGGCGCGCAGCCTTTGCCCGCCCAATATATCAGTAAACAAACGCCTGAGGGCAGCCCGCCCCCAAGGGGAGGGCTTATCCCTACATCTCCCTCCTTTTGTCTAAATAAGACAGAACTAACCTAAATACAACTATAAACAATAATAATAAATAATAGATATAACAAACAATATTGAGAACAAAAGTTTTACCAGACATTCTATCTCAAGGAGTCTAAATAATGTAGAGAGTAATTACAATTATATAATCTTCAACTCCGTCAAAGATCCGAGAAGGGAATAAATATTACTTAACAAATGAGCGATATCCAAAGCGTGCCATAAATGACAGAGACAACAGACTACCTGGGCAATCACCCAAATTCTCGTTCGCAATGTTGAGTCAACCAACTTTGGCTAAGGCCTAGCATGACTGACATACCATTATCAAATGCAAGGAATTTTCTTAGAATTATCCTACCCTGTCTTGGCAAGATAAGAAAATCCTGTTTCATATCTTTGTCAGTAGATGAGGTATGGGCTTTTCTTAACCCAAAGGCCAATTCTGCCAAGAAGACAAACTCCCAGTGGAGTGTCTTTGGTGCTCAACGTTCTCTCGGGAGTAGAGTGGTGTCGCCAGGAGTAATTGTGTCTCGGCACAGAATTCTAGGTTAGCTTAAAGGCCATTTTCTACAGCTCTTTAAAGAGGCTGAAGATTATACTATCTATACTAAATATAATCTCTATGTATCTAGAATACCTTATTAACCTAAAAATAAACATGAACAACATAAAATTCTCAATACCTATCTAACTTGAAGACTAAAAAAAATAAACAACTGTGCAATACATGAAGACAATGATCTTCATCTGTAAACAATGTCATTACATATCAAATGTAAACAATGTTATTACATAAATAGTATCAGAGGTAGAAATGTACATTGTGATATGGTAGATGTATCAATACAATATAAGTATACTCTTATACAAAAATAGAGGTAGGAACACTCACATTCAATATTCAATATGTCAATATACAGGAAACAGTACCAATACAATTTTCTAAAAACAGTAACTCACAAATACCAATCATCCCATCAAACCAGTTAATCCCCTTTTTTTTTTTTTTTTAACATACCCCTAACTCCATAAAACATCTCCCCATCCCCTCAACCCCAAACCAACCACTAAAAGATGTCCCTAACCCTGAGGGCAAACTCTGTTGGGGGAGGGGACGCCGTCCTCTAAGATTGCTTCAAGCTGACATGGGGGCGATGTTCTCCTTAGGGGCTCCTGTGAAAGCAAATGATGGTAAAATTTCCAAATTAACTTTTGGCCTAAGAAAATTATAACTAGTCCCTGAGCGCTTTGAGAAGGTCCGGCCAGAGTGTCGTCAAAAAATGTGTACCATTCGAAATTGTCTTGTGTAGTTGGTACCAAAAAATTATTAGCACGTAGAAAAGAGAAAAAAAAGAAATCCAAAGTAAATAATCAATCACCTGGCTCCTAATTTATGGACTTGTAAAGAGATAAACTTACAATAACCCACTGACTGATTTCTGCGATACTGAAGCCTGGCGATGCTAACTGTGGACTTGAGAATTGTACATTCCAAGAAAAAGATGCAGGAAGGCTTAGTTGGACAACTCCCAGTAATATTAGAGGTGACCAGTGAAACGGTCCCGTAGTCAGCACAGAGATTGCCCAGTGTGTATTACAGCTATTCCAGTCTACACCCCTTGAGCACTAAAATCTTTATCATTTAAAAACTCTTGTATGTTGTTTAGTATGTGACAAATATCTGTGGTCACAGCTTTTCCCACTCGGTAGGAATCCATTTAAGATGCATTAAAATCGATACTGTCTTTTCATCAATAATAGAAGCCATAAAAGTTTGCAGTAGGAAAAGTTACCAAGTACTGGCGCAACTTTGGTGACACTAACCATTTGAATCCTAATAAACATTTAGCAATTCCCAGGAAAATGCTTCCTCCAATTCAAGTGTCTACAAAGATGAAGTCCTGGATGAGTGAAGGGGATTTGAGAAGTCAGTCACTAGATAAAGTAGGAGAAAAGGAGAAAAGCCATCTCTTGTAAAACGAAACACGGTCATTAACTATGCAGCGCTTCTGGAGTTGGGATTTCAACCTCTCAGATCACTGGAAAGTGTTTGGAAAGAAATAATGAAGGGCCTTTATTGCTCTCCCATATGCTCTGACCAAAGTTCATGAATATTCAGAACTGCTATAAAAATGTATAGGGATCTATTTGAAGGACTTTCTTACGAACATTAGAAGCAGACCCAGCAGAGAAGGGCTTCTCAGATGTCCCTGAGGGTGGCCATTGCAAAGCTTTGTCAAAGGCTCTTAAAGTAGGATAGGTAAGTGATGAGTTGGTACATAACTTAACAAGCTTGATTTAAACCTTTTCTCAGGTGTACACGTGTATGTCAAAGCATAAGTCACAAATTCATACAATTTTTATTTATCAACTTCCTAGTTTGATAAGTAAAGATAAATAAGATAAAAATGAAAAGTTAAAAACTGAATTTTTTTTTAAAATGGAGGGAGAGGCTAGGTCTTAGTTGGGGTTTCTATTGTTATGATGAAATCTCAGGACCAAAAGAAAATTGGAGAGGAAAGGTGTTTATTTCATCTTATAGCTTGTAGTCTAGCATGTAGGTGACTCGGGGCAAGAACTCAAGGCAGGAACCTGGAGACAGGAAGTGTTTCTGAGGTCATGGGAGTGTGCTACTCTGCTGGATAGGTTTATATCAAATTGATACAAGCTATAGACTTCTGAAAGAAAAAAACCACATTTGATTTTTAAAAAAAAAAATAGCCTTCTTAAAGTTGGGCTGTACTTAAGCCAATAGAGCATTTTCTTAGTTAGTGATTGATGTGGGAGGGCTCAACACATTCATTGTGAGTGGTACCACCATGGGTATTAGGATTCAGGCATTATGCTGACTCCTATCACCTGGTGGGATGAACCCAGGCAGTACCCTGGGCAGCCCAGGGTCCAATGGCTGCTAAGTCATTATGTATGCAGATATAAAAGGTCCCTTTAAGAGAAAAGCTCCGCCCATTCCCTCTCTCTTTTCCCCCACTGCTCTTCTAAACGGGTCCCTGCCTCTTCTTCCTCTTCTTTCTCTCTGTATTTCTCTTTCTCTCTTCTTCCCCCATTTCCTTTATCTCAATAAAACTCCCACATAAGCTCTGCCTGCATGGCGTGTCTGACTCTCACCGTGTCGCCCCCTAACCCCCCAGGGTCTCTCTCACACCGGTTTACAGCAATGGGTGAGTCATCCCGGGTTCGGTAAGAAACCAGGCAGAGCTAGCCATGAGGAGCAAGCTAGTAAGCAATGCTCCTACAAGATCTCCACATTAAGTACTGTCTCCAGGTTCCTGCTGTGTTTGAATTCCTGCCCTGATGTCTTTCTATGGTCAACAATGATGTGGAAGTGTAAACCAAACAAACCTTTTCCTCCCGAATTTGCTCTGGGTCAAGGTGTTTCATCAAGCATTAGAAACTCTAGGACAGCTGCTTACTGGTTTGCTCCACATGGATTGAACCTGAGTTTTTCCACCTGTCTAGGGTTGGCACCACCCACAAGGGGCTGGGCCCTCCCGCATCAGTCATTAATCAAGAAAATGCCCTACAGACTTACTGATGTGGGAGTGTCATATATCAATCTGTTGATTTCATTGGTTAATTAAAGAAACTGCTTGGCTGGCCTCATAGGTTAAAGTAAACAGAATAGAATTCTGGGCGGAAGAGGAAGTGAGTTCAGACTCTGCTCTGCTTCCGGAGAGACCGGACAGCTCTGCTGGAGCAGAGACTCCATGCTCAGCTCTCCCGGGTAGATGCGATAGCTCTGTGCTCTGAGGCAGATGCATGAAGCTGAGACCCACGATGGACGTAGGCTAGAATCTTCCCGGTAAGCGCACCTTGGGGTGCTTACACACATAATTAGAAATGGGCTAGTCCAGGTGCGAGAATTAGCCTGTAAGGGCTAGAGTTCATGGGCCAAGCAGTTCTTAAATGAATACAGTTTGTGTGTTGTTATTTCGGGCATGAGCTAGCAAGCGGCCGGGGTGTTGGGGACGCAGCCCCGCCGCCGCTTCCTATTTCAACAGATGGTGCCCAGACGTGAGGCTAACTGAATCCACAAAAAGCCTGAGAAAGCTTGGGAAAGAATGGAGTGAAGCATGTTTTCTTGGTAGCAGAAATTTCTTGGGTCTACTCTGCTTGCTAGAGGCAAGCAAGCGCTCTCATCTAAGAGAGGCTT